CATATATACACATACACATACACATACATATATATATATATATATATATATATATATATATACATACATATATATATATATATACATATATACACATACACATACATGTATTATATATATATATATATATATATATATATATATATATATATATATAAAACCAAGGCCTTTCTCCGATTTCAAAATAAAAAACAAAACAAAACCGTGAAGCGTTCACATTTGCAGCTTAACATTTTAAATAGCTTTACATTTCAGTTTACACATAAATTAAACATCTGTCCAACATCATTTCATTCAAATACAGAAACAAATGTACTACATAGGAGCAGGTTACCATCTGTCGATTTTAGTAAAAAATAATTGTCTTTTAAACAAATAAAGTGCAAGACACCCGGTTTTAAATACTCAATACGAGGAGGAAAGAAACTGTAACGTTTCAAACAGCCAACGAAAAATTCAGGAGGAAGGGTCAAGTTTAATCAAGGCTCAGCGATTTCGAGGATTGTTGACTTTTCATAAGCATTCTATTAAAGATGGACTAGAATCTAATTTAAATACAATTATTAGCATGTTTTGCTAAATGCTATTTTTGCAAGTTCATGACCATATGAGAATGACTAGAACATGTTTACTTGCTAGTTTTACATATTTCACATGGGTTGAATGCAATTTATATAGTCTCAACAGCATCTGTGCCAGTGCCACATACACACACCCAGACACACACAAAATACTGTTGAATATATAAAAATATATATATTAGTAATTATACATCATTCTTATATATTAAACATACACAATTATCTAAAATAAAAACAAACAAATATGTATAATTGGATTAATATGAGGTAAATTTCCCCATTGACTTCAATTGTAAACAAAAAAATTGAATGCACTTTGTTTGCCTTTACGCAACTGTCATAAATGGCACAAATGCTATTTAGAAGCTACAACAAACGAGATAAATCTAGTTACCACTGATCATTCCTACTTTTGACACAATGGAGACCTATCTGAGGCAATACCACTGCTGTATTAAACGTTTAATACATATTAAATATCTATATAATAGAAGAGAAGATCAGAAATTCAACTGCTCAGAAAATTCAGTCCATAAGATGTACGGCAAGAATGAAGTATGAGCACAATACTTAAAAATGTAACACATTATTTGCAATATATTTACTGCTATGTTTGTATCTAAATGTGTATAATGTACATAATGTAAATATCAGTGCTGTCAAATGATTAACTGCATCCAGTATACATATATAGTTCATAATTGGAAAATATATTTGTGTGTACTGTGCATACTGTGTGAGTGTGTCTGTGTGTATAAACCCAATATAAATCCAATTAAAGTGCATTTTTGTTTGTTTTTATTTTATATAATGGGTTAAGTTTGATATATAATATATAATTATGAAATATAATTAATTATATATATATATATATATATATATATATATATATATATATATATATATATATGTGTGTGTGTGTGTGTGT